AGAGAGAGAGAGAGAGAGAGAGAGAGAGAGAAAGAGAGAGAGAGAGAGAGAGAGAGAGAGAGAGAGAGAGAGAGAGAGAGAGAGAGAGAAGCTACGACGTTTATTTCATTTTGGACTAAAAAAGACAGCCCATTTCCGGGGCGTTCCGAAGTGTGCCAAAAATAGGACAGCCCATAATCCTTGCCATGGGATAAAGAGCACCACCATGAACACGAGTAGGATGCCACACATGTGCGATGACTCGGAGGCTACGACGTTTATTAGCGTTGACTGTTACCGCCGCGAAGTGGCGGCCCCCGCTGCATCGCTGCCTCGTTGTGCCTGGCAATACAAAGGAGACACTCGGAGGACATGACTATCATGAACGAACTCAGAGCCTGGGCAACAACCCACAACCACACTCACAATTCGGCATTCGTGGTTGCAAACCACCTGTGCCACGATGGAGAATCGCCCTGTCCGATAGTAGTAGAACTCTCTCGTCTCTTTTCTCGGCTTCTCGATGTATACATGGGTGCAGTCAATTGCCGGGGCCCCCACTCATCCAGGGAAACATTTCCTCCCAAAAGGATCCATCATTTCTCTTATATATATATATATATCGTCACAAACAGAACTGCCCGGTAAAAACGTAGGCAGAGAGAGAGAAGAGGACAACAAACGAGGGGCTGTGACAAACTGTTTCGTCGGAGTTTCACCGACTCATCAGGAGGCTGAACCCTCAACAGTCTTCAGAATCCCCTCACTGATTACATATATATATATATATATATAGCGTATCGTTTTCTTAACTGACCGGGCCCAGAGTATTTTATTTTTTTTTAACTACTAATCTGATGCTATCGGGATCTGAATTCTGGTCTGTGTATCAACAGTTCTTGGGCCTCGCTCCACTACTCTCGACGAGCACAAAAGACAAAAAATATGGCGGTGTACCTTTCCATGCTCGAGGACCAGATTCATTCTCATTTTGCACATTTGGTGGGCAGTGGAGCGAGCCCCCTTGTCTCTACCAACTGTGAGCTAGGCCCCTTGGTTTCGTAATTAAGTAACCGCAATTTTATCTAAATAAATAAATAAACTTTTTCTCTGCATCGTGGATCTGAGCCGAGCAGTCAACTTTCTTCTTTTTTTTTTTTTTTTTCCTGATGAAAAAGCCCCACTGGCCACACAGACGCAATGGATAACTCTTCCCCTTCGATCTTCCGCACCCCGAATATAACCTACGGTCATTATAACTGTATTTGCCCCTAATTTTCCGTCTAGATACGGAGATGACGACCGTTCTAGTACGTTCTATGCAAGGGAAGACGGCAGAATCTTTTCGTGGGGGGAAAAAAAACTGATACCTAGAAGTTGATAACAATTTTTCTTCGCAATTAAAATCACTCTCACGGACTCGAGAGCGAGGTCTATTTTTAGATTCACATCACGAACAGAGTCTGACACAACTACTCGCCTAAAGACCTACTCACCGACCCCCACACCCACGGATGCACACACAGAAATACACACAGACACACACACAGACACACACACACACACACACACACA